ATCGGAGCTGGTGAAGCAGACATTGTGGTGAAGATGTGGTGATTTCAGCTGACAGCAGGTGTGTGTTTTCGCAGCGCGCTCCCGCCGGCGGCCTGCAGGGGGCGGCGGCGAGTCTCGGCCGCTTCACATCAACCCACGAAGAAGAGCGCGAGCCTCGCCATGGCGGAAACGGAGCAGCAGTCAGGTAAAGCTCAGATGATGCTTCTGCTCGGCGGTACCAACTTCTCTCCCCGCTTGTGCTCCCGCCCGTTCTGGTGCCGGTACCGTTACGGTTCGCACCGCACTGCCACCGGGGAACTAACTTGACGTTCGTGGGTTAGAACCGGGACCGAACCGCGCCGCTGTCCGGTGCTACAGCTACACGCAGACCGCCGGGATAAGTTGTCACCTGGACTCGGTTCGGTGTTTGGGTGTAGAAGTTGAGCTGTAGGTGCGGTTCCGTTGGGTCGTCAGGCTGAGCTGTTAGCTGCGCTGCTAGCTAACAGGTGGACTCACCTGCAGGGGGCAGGTTCAAGGCAGCACATCTGGGTTCTGCTCGTTTATTCGGAACATCTGCAGCTTAAACTGAGTGTTTGTGAAGTCGCTGATGCTACATATTGATGAAGCTAGCTGTTGTCATTGATCTAGCTATTGATTACTGTCGACATGCTGATCAAAACACGTGTTTCCATGAAGCTGACTTTAAATAATCATCAGAACTGAAGATTTAATTCCTGATTTAGTTCAAGCTCCAAATATACACTGAAGCCTCCATTTCCCACAATGCATCACTAACGCATGTTTCAGTCGACCCTGCCTAATTATTAATTTATTTATTAAAAATTTCATTCAGATTTAAATTTATTTGAAATCTAAGTCAGGTACATTTGACTGACATTTGTTCAATTTAAAAACAAAACTGAATTTAATTAGATTTAAACTCATTTTTAATGATGTTGACAGCATAAACAGAATAAATAAAGACAATAATTAACAAGAAAACAAACAGTGCTTTTGTTTTTATGCGTCTGTTTATTTATTATTAATTATATTCAAGCAGGACGTTCCTTTAGAGCAGGGGTATCGACATCCGGTCCTCGAGGGCCGCAGTCCTGCATGTTTTAGACGTTTCCCTTCTTCCAACACACCTGATTCAAATGATCAGGATCGTTATCAGACTTCTGTAGAGCTTGATGATGAGCTGATCATTTGAATCAGGTGTGTTGGAAGAAGGAAACATCTAAAACATGCAGGATTGCGGCCCTCGAGGACCAGAGTTCGACACCCCTGCTTTAGAGAATAAAATCTTTTTGTTTTCGTGGGAGACTGGACATTTCTGGCACAAAACTATTCAAAGGAACATTAAAATGTACGAAAGGCTTTGAGCAAGAAAGTAAAAATACTTGTAATATGCAAATTATACATTATAGAGGATATGCACTGTGCAAAGATGTAGAAACATCTGTGATGTAAAAACCAAAATACAGGGTGCAAAACGACGTGCACATCTGAAATCACAACACCCATCCATCATCTCTACACCTTCATCCTCACCAGGGTCATGGGGGGCTGGAGTCTATCCCAGCTGACTCAGGGTGAAGGCAGGTTCACCTGGACAGGTAACCAGTCTATCACAGGGCTACACTTAGAGACAGACAACCAAGCACACTCACATTCACACCTACGGACAATTTAGAATCACCAATTAACCTCAGCATGTTTCTGGACTGTGGGAGGAACCGGAGAACCCGGAGAGAACCCACGCTGCACGGGGAGAACATGAAGACTCCACGCAGGAAGATCCCGGGTGTCCTCACCGGGACGCCAACCGGTGACCTTCTAGCTGCGAGGCGCTAACGGGGCTAACCACCGAGACACCTGCAGCCCCTGAAATCACAACATGATGTAGAAAAATATCCGTATCAGCACGTGGAACTGTCTCATCTGTAGTTTTTACTGGATCCACTTTCTACTGGAGCATCATAGTTCAACTGGACCAGAACGCGGCTGCTTATTTTGAAAGTTAGCGATGTTAGCTGCCATATTTTATCTGAAGTTATGACATCAACACTAACAAGTACGCCGTCTGTTGGTTTTGTTTATTTTAGGATCCACTCCTGAAGATGAAGCACCTGAAGTCGCTGCCGGCGCCACCTTCATGGTGCCCAAGAAGGAGATCAGCATGGTGCCCGACATGGGCAAGTGGAAGAGGTCTCAGGTAGGTCTCACATCCAAAAAAGCTTTGTTTGATGTGACTCAAACTGAAGACAGACGTGTGAAGAACAAGGAGCTGCTGTGGTACTGAAGCTGACATCTGCATGAGTTTAAGTCAGCCTTGAATGAAATTGATTTAAAAATAGTCTTTGTTCATGTACCTGTGAGGATAAACTCCACAAAAAAGTCCACATTTGATGCTATAAACAGTTCAGACGAATCAGAGACGGTGGAGCAGAAACTTCCTCCATGAAGCGTTCGGTCCTTCGCTGTAGAGCCGGCGTCAGTTTATTCATCCGTCTGATTGTTCTGCTCTGTGTTCCTGAACATCTGCTGCATCATAAACTACATGAGGTCTGTAAAGTCCTCCCGTCTGTCCCCCTGCAGGCCTACGCCGACTACATGGGCTTCGTCCTGACGCTGAACGAAGGTGTGAAGGGAAAGAAGCTCACGTGTGAATATAAAGTGTCTGAGGTCAGTTTTCTGTTTCTGATTGTTGTTGGAGGTTAAAGAGGAAAGTTTTAGCTCATCATCAGTTTCTTAAACAAGTTAAAACAAGTTCTATATGTTTTACACCTTTTATAATAAAGACGAAGGCTGATAAACAGGTTAATAAGACTGAATTATGTCCATAAAATGTTCCAGTTTCCAAGTTTTAAGCTTGTATTTAACAATAAAGAACATTTTGAGCTGTTTGCAGAACCTCAAACCGCTTCGAGCAGAAAAACTAAAACCAGAATCTTTACTGTGGAACCACTTAAAAACCTGCTTTTTCATCAACTGTGCTGCAACAGCGCCCCCTACCAGGTTCATTGAAGTGCATGACTGATAGTTTTAAAGGTTTATTCCACCCAAAATACTACTTTCTGACACATTAGTTATGGTTTTAAGGGTGTATTCCACTCAAATAGTAATTTCTGTTTGCATACTTATGGTTTTAAAGGGTTGTTCCACCCAAAACTGTTCTAGGTTTTTGATTTATTATAAGCTCTTTTGAAGTAAACAAGTTGTTGCCATGTTTTGTGGCCCAACAAGAGGTCGTGAAAAACTACTCGACTGATGGTGAAGCTGTTGTTGGTTCAGCTGCTGTCGTGTTGTCGTTGACAGACAATAGAGAAGCTGTTGGATCTTCTGGCGACTCTGGACCGGTGGATCAACGAAACCCCTCCGGTCGACCAGCCGTCGCGCTTCGGTAACAAGGCCTACCGGACCTGGTACTCCAAACTGGACCAGGTCAGTCGTCGCTGTTTAAATCTCGTCCGTGAACGAGCTCGGTTTGAACTCGGGCAGCTGATGGTGTTTGTGTTCAGGAGGCCGAGGCTTTGGTGTCGGCGGTGCTGCCGGCCGAACGATGCGCAGCGGCTCCAGAGATCGCCGTCTACCTGAAGGAGTCGGTGGGGAACCCGACCCGGATAGACTACGGAACCGGTACCTGTTCTATTAGTTTGGGCTTTAAATGTTGGCGATTTGGGAGCAACAAAGACGTCAGGATGTTTATTCAATAACTCCAGATGAAGAAATGAAAACTAAAACATCAGACGCTTGGATCTGAACAATCAGATTAATGTTGTTTGCAAAACTTTGTTCTAGATCAGTTTCGGTACCGTGCAATATTTCATTCTGATCTTGTCTTTCAGGTGCCATATTTCAAACTTAAATCCTACTTTTTATCAAACCAGTTGTGATTTTAAAGGTTTAATTCACTCAAAATTCTACTTATTGACCAAATACTTCTCTTATCTGTCCAAACATCCCTTTACAACCAATCACCGATGGAGTTAAAGGGTTATTCCAACCAAAACTGTGTTAGTTGTGATTTCTATGCTTTCTAATTAATCCTGATGAGTTATTAACTAAGGTTGAGGTGCAGTATTTCATCATCATGTGTGATATAATATATCTGCTGTTCTATTCCAGTCTTATCTCTGTTTACTTATTGTATTTTCAGTGTCGTATCGTACTTGTATCTTGTTGCTTTCTACATCTGAGGCACTGCTTTGTGTTTTTCCTTCTGGATTCATAAAGTTTTATCTAATGTTATCGTTTTAACACCAGGTTTACATAAATGTGTTGTAGTGCAGCAGAAACTGAGCCCACGTTGAGTCACGAACACCCAGAAACTGATCAGAGTTGACAGAAAGAGGAGCTGCTGTAGTTTAGACACGATTAGAATCTTTAACTTTAATACCAGCCACATGTGAACCCACCAGAGTCTTTCAGTATTCTGGCGTCCACTTGGTCCCATATACCTGTCGGGGTTTTGATTTTTAAATCACGTTCTAGTCGGATCCAGAACCTGCAGCTCTCTGATCTCTGTCTCCTCAGGCCATGAAGCCGCCTTCGCAGCGTTCCTCTGCTGCCTCTGTAAGGTCGGAGCTCTGCGAGTGGACGACCAGCTGGCCATCGTCTTTCAGGTTTTTAACCGGTGAGCTTCTCGTTAATGTGCAGTCGGTGTGCTGGTTTCTTTATCCAATAGGACCTTATGTCCAGAGTCCAGCCTCATTTCACTGGTTGGTTTTGGGTCACAGTTAAAGAGGTTTAAGAAGGTTCCTGTCGAAGCGCTGAAATGTAAATCTAAAGGTGGTTTTAGACACTCGTCTCAAAATAATTCACTCTACAATTAGTGCAGCTGATAAAATACTGAGCTGGACCGCTTTATGGCATCAGCAGCTTCATTTACAACCAGATTAAAGGAGTAACAGGAAGACAGGAACAATCTGACTAAACTCTATTTTTAGTTTAGTTTTTCCTTCTTAGATTACATTAAACACTCTATGAACAGACCTGTAGTTGTTGTGTGTGTTTGCAAAAACAAAAACTCTAAATTAGAAAGTCAATATATTTTGAGTTAATGTCAGTTTTATTGATATTTCCTTCAGTGCTGAATACGAAACAACCAAAACATGTAATTTCTGAAAATAACTGCAGAATAAAAAGTCGATTTTCTCTGATTATCTCTGATTTGACTGAATATTTTAAAGCATAAAATAAGGGACGTTAAAATGTGATCAATGATCGATTTGTCACCGTTAAATATGTGAAGAGCATTTTAAATGTCCAGAGTTTATGATATAAACCAGAGACGGTGGAGCAGAAGGTTTCTGATGGTTTGTTGCTCCGTCTTTAGTCCCACGTTGCTGGAACGTGACCAACATGTAGTTCTGTTGGTGGGTTCTGTCTCCAGGTACCTGTCGGTGATGCGGAAGCTGCAGAGGACCTACAGGATGGAACCGGCCGGGAGCCAAGGAGTCTGGGGTCTGGACGACTTCCAGTTCCTGCCCTTCATCTGGGGAAGCTCCCAGTTCGTAGGTAAGAGCCTCGGTGGTCTGAACTTGTGTCTCAGACGCATGCAGAGACAGAAACGGGTTCACAGAACGAAGACATGAACATGTTTGGAGACAGTGGAAGATCTGAGGGATGTTTATATGTTTAGGATGCTGAAAACACACCAGAGCATCCTCGGACAGAACAGTTAGTTTTAGTGGCTGAATGTTCTGCCTGATTGGTTTCTGACTCCTCACTGAGGCCCAGTGGATCAGGTTTGGGTATAAAATGGTGAATCCAGTTTGGAGTTCAGAACGGTGAACCGTGGAGAGCTGAGTGAGAATCAGCTGATCTGATACGTCTGTTGAACGCTGTACATGTCGGAAAGTATTTGATATATCAGTTAAAATTCTCACAAATGTCTATAAATATCCATATTTTATGCAGTTAAACTGTCAGTCGAATCAGAGCTGGTTGTTCTAAAAGTTTGGTTCTGCCTGTGATGGTGCAGCTGCAGGTTCGGTCCACTAGAGGTCCTCAGTCTGACACCAAACACTGACACCCAGACCCACCTGAGCTACTGCGCTGCCAGAAAACGCACTTTCCCATAATTACACCTCATTACAACTTATTTACCCTCCCAGTAAACGGGCCATGAACTGGTCCCGTGTTCAGCCCGAGTTCTGTCCGGTTCCAGCCTCGGTTCTGAAGCTGAAGTCGGACCGAGTGAACAAAAACGTTTCTTTGCCCTGTTTTCGTCCACGCTGACTCAAACAAACGGAGAAGTCACACGGCCCGACGGGGAGCTCTCTGATTGGACGGTTCTGGTGACGTCATCGTGCCACATGCGGGAAATGAGACTCTGCAGGTTCTGGTGCTGTTCACCGGACCTGGCCGTGTGCAGATGGTGGGCAAAAGAAAAGCATTATAGTCATATTATTACAGATAAATAGAGTTTCCACGTAGTTATGGAGCAGCTCTGAGACGAAATAAGCACATCAGGGTTGTTGACGTGAAGCGCTTGGTGGTGGCGTGATTGTTGTCAGATGTAGACGAAGCTGCTGAAAGACAGACAAACAAAAATGATTAATTAATAGTTATTAATGTTGCCGGATATCGTCTATGTTTTACGAGACGAGGAAGCAAACAGCCGATCAGTCGAGTTCTTCTGTCTGGGTTCATCAGCTCAACCGTCTCCGGCTTGTTTTAAACTTTATTATCACAAACTGTGGATATTTAACATGTTAACTGTCAAATTTAAGCTTCATTTATCAAATATTTCTTGAGATAAACCTTTTAAAAAATCACCCGTCGACCCACTTTCAGCATGAAATTAGTTTGAACAGCGACATCGGAGGAACTGTGAAAGATAAACACCTGAATCTGTTATTTATCGCGTCGTTTATTGAGAATCTGTGATTTTATTTTGTTTTTAGTTGTTTTTGGAGAACCAGTGTGAAACTCCAGGACTCTGCTTTCTGCTGATATTTTAGTTTTTGTCAAATCTGCTCAATCAGTTTTGAAAGTTCAGTTAAAATAGATTTTTTTCTTCATTTTTGTGACTAAATATTTCAAAATAAAAGCATTCTACATGTTTAGTTTTGTATTATTGTGACCTGCAGCTACATGTGGTTCAGAAAACATCACTAGTTGACTTAATATGAGCTCAGAGTCGGAACCTTTCATGTTTTTATCTTTAATAGTTCCTCAGATGTCGTTGCTCAAACACTCAGATTTCTATAAAAACCTGCTGAAAGATGGTAGACGGGTGATTTTAAAAGATTTTTTATCTCAGGAATTATTTGATATATGAAGCTAAAAGTTCACAGACACCATGTTAAATTGTAAGAGAAAGTTATAACGAGATGGATCAACACGAACACTTTATCCTCAGTTGGTTGTAATCTGCGACTCGACCACTAGATGGCGCTGAATCCTTCACGCTGCTCTCTGAAGGTGTTTTATCCTGAAAAGTCTGAAATAATTCACACTGGAGCTTACATAAGGAAGATTAGAACGACTTAAAGGCCATAAAATGATCAGAGCAGAAGGTTTTAAACGTTTTACTTCCAGTTTTCTGTTTGTTTCTGTAAACGTGTGAATAAAGTTTTAACTGTAGGAGGAGCTAAATAAGAGCTAAAGAGCAGCAGCTTTGTCTCATTAGCAGCCCCTGATGATGATGATGATGATGTTGTTGTTGTTGTTGTTGTTGTGAGCCCACATGGCTCTGATAAACACGTCGAGGTGAACGCTGCCCCCCGCTGGCCGACACGTGAACTAACAGGCCATCGTCTTCCCGCAGATCATCCGACCCTGGAGCCGCGACACTTCATCGACGAGAGGGTGGTGAACGAGCAGCACCAGGACTACATGTTCCTGGAGTGCATCAAGTTCATCAACGAGGTGGGAAACAACAATAATAATGGTTTATTACAAGTAAAATAAAAGATAAACGCTGTTCGTCCTGGAGACCAGCGAGCTGCTGCTGCCCCCTACAGGAAGGAAACTCTCCCTGTGTCTGAGACGGACACCGTGAAGCATTTTAAACAGACATCCTGTTGGAAAAAGTAGAAAATGTGTTTTAAAACTCATTCATTCCACACGCGTCTAAATAAATACGTAAATAAATCTTTTTTTTTTTTTTTTTTTTAAAAAGGGGGAAAATACGGGAAAAACTATTTTTTTTAAAAACAACAAAAAACTGTGTAATTTTGTAAAAAGCAGTGAAAATAACAGCAAATATCTTTAAAATATTATTTTTTAGCTGTTTTAAATACAGTGAAAGTCTGACCACACATTGTAAAAAAGCTAAATATTTCATTCATTCATTTTCTTTTTATTTTAGCTTATTTTTTACTGCAGACATTTAAATTGACATTTTATTTATATGATTTTATTAGAAATTAGCTATAATTTTACAAAACAGGGAACATATATATATATATGTATAAAATAACAAATAAGTTAAAATTTAATTAATTTAAATTGATTTTTCAATCCCTAACACACATTTTTTTTCTTTCAAATTTGGCCAAATAATATTAATATAAATACAGTAAAAAAAATAAAAAATGTAATTTTACATTTCAACGGTGTGAAAAAAATGCTATTTATAAAAATACAGACTTTTGTTGTGGACATTATTATCGTTTACAGTCAACCAGTAAATTGAAGCGCTTTTTGTTTCTCTGTGAATTTACGAGTTAATATCTGTAATTTAACAAAACTGGGAAATAAGTTAAAAAATGATCTTCAATCCTTCATATGCAAACTTTTTCTTACAAAGCTGAGTAGATGTCTCTAACATAAAGATGTTTTCTGCTGATTTAAATGAACTAAACTGTATATCTACAGTCAGAGGACATTTAATCGACCTGCTCATTAATATCATCATATAATCATGTAAACTTGTGCTAACGCTGCGAGCAGACTGGTTCAGGTCCATCAGTGGGAATAAATACATGTCGGACCGCAGCTGAGCGAGGTTCAGTCCAGGAAGAGGAAGCGGAGCAGCAGCAGATGGATTGTGTTGGTTCGGGTCCAGAGCAGGAACCGGAGCTTTGTTTGGGCTTTTGGAGGAAGAGGAGGAAGAGGAGGGGAGGGAAGTGGAGGAGGGCGTCGCTGAGCTGCTGCATCCTTTTTCCTTTATCCAGCGTGGACCGGCCTCCTCCTTCCTCCGCCGGGTCAACGCCTCCACGTTCTGCTACGAGGTCGGAGCAGACGGCTGTAGGTTCAGGGCATAGAATGGATCAACGAAACTGATCAGCAGCTAACGCTAATGAGCAGCTAACGCTAATGAGCAGCTAAAGCTAATGAGCAGAACAGGCTGTTCGTTGGTGTTTGTGTATTTACAGTCGATTTGTGATCAGTTCAGTGTCGACCAAGAAAGTAAAACTCCTGCAGTGAGTCCTGAAAGCTGTATTAATAATATTATTATTATAACTTGACATTATTATGGGCAAAGTTCTAATTGTGATTATTTATCAGGATGCTTTATGCAACATTCCTGCTAAAAGAGAAATCTTTACATCAAAATAAAACTAATAAAACTCCCAGAAATTATTCAATATGTTCAGCTGAAATTGAACAGATACCATTTTAAATCTCTACATATGTTAATTGACTGTAAAAAATTAAAATAAATAAATGTAAAAAAAAGAAAAACTGTAACTAATACTGATTTATTCTGACAATGTTTGTAAAATTACGTTATTTTACTGTATTTAAATGAGCAACATGTTGTTGCTTTACAGATTTTCTTTGTTTTGTTTACTTACAGATAATATGTAGAAAAAAATCACAAACCAGTATTATTTATATGTTGACCTAAAAAAAAAAAATCTAAAGCTGTAAATAATAAATTAAAATGTAAAAATTTACATTTACATTCTGTGACTGTAAAATTACATTGATTGTATTTAAATCAGGAAAAACTTTGTTACTTTATGAATATTTTCCATTTTATTAAAAAAACAAAACAAACAAATATTTTCCTTATTTAAAAGAAAAAAAATGTAGATTTACAGATAAGATATAATAAACTTTATTTGGCTATATATCTATGAAATCACAGAAACAAATATTAATTTACACACTGATTATAAAAAAAATTTCTAAATCCCACCAAACGTGTATTTTCACAAACAGTAATTAGTCCTTTTACAGCATGTGATTCTGGAGCTGGACAGATTTACTGTTTAAAAAAGATGGAAATAGATATTTTATCTTTTCCACATTTTTTACTGTTTTTAAATCAATTTTTTCTGCTTTTTTTACTGTATTTAAATCATGATGGTAACTCATTTTTAAATGTTATTTTACAGATTTTCACTGTTTTGTAAAAATACAGATAATATCTAAAATTGCAAAACGTTAACAAAAGAGTAAAAAAATCTGAATTATAATCCAAAATAAATGTTTTTACTCAGAGCAAAAGGTCAAACTAATAAATCAGCTAAACATTTATATTTCTAACAGATATTTGCTGTTAATTTTACATTTTTTACCATTTTGAAAGTTGCATTTTCTACCATTTTTATTTCATTTTTCTGCTGTTTTTACTGTATTTAAATCATGATTTTAAATGTTATTTTAACTGTTATTTTACAGATTTTCCGTTTTGTTAAATTATAGATATCTAAAAAGTTTAAACTTTAAAAAGTTTTTTTTTTTAAATTAAAAAGTAAAATCTGAACTAACTAACTAACTTACTAAACTTACTTAACTTACTAAAAGTAATTTGTTCTTTTACAATTTGTCACCCTGACATAATAAATCAGCTATAAATCTGTGTTTCTAACAGATATTTGCTGTTCTTTTCAGTTTTCCACTTTCTTTTTTCCTGCTTCCAGATTTTCTTTTCATTTTTTTGTTTGAGTGACTTTTAGTTTTCCAGTGAACACTCTTCTGCTGAATGTGCACATCCCATCATTATCTGATTATCGCTGCCTCTGTAGTGTTTGTAGCGTCGTTGCCACGCCGACGCCGGTTCGGCCCGACGACACGTCCACCGCTGACTGAGCGTCTGCAGCATCCAACCAGCTGCGAGCCGCTCTTTCCTTTTCCTGGACGCCGTTCTGGCCTCGTTGGGTCTCTCTCGTTGACCGGCGCTGGGTCCGGCCGTCCAGCCGAAGCGTTTTCACCCACATGTGGACGCTTCGGACCCGTTTCTTTCTTTTTTTTTATTTCCACACAAGGCTGCAGTGTGTGCGCCGCCGAACATGAGTCACTTCCTTCCCCACATGCTGCTGTGAATCAGTCCTTCCTCCAGGGAATACCGGCCGTCTCCACCCCCTCGGTTTCCGCCCGCCGAGCCGCCCTTCCCCCATGTGTTCTCAGGCGAGGCCCTGGAAAGTGTCTGGAGGAGGGGGATGGAAAAAGCAGGGGGCCGAGGATTGATGCCCCGGGGCTCTGGGGGCTCGGGTTGCTCGGCCTCCCGGGAGAGGACGGTGGGAAAACCCTCCGCCAGCGCCGCTCCTCATTCATACTTTCACAGATTCTCGCCTCGCGTCCGTAAATCCAGAATTTATTCCCGTTATTCGGGTGATTGCTGGTAAACAATCAGCCTTTTGTTCTGTGGAGCACATTGATTAATCAATGCAGTAATAAGAAAAGTGTAATCAGGAGCTTTTTATTTGCATGTTGTTATTCTAATTATTGTTATAAATGTGACTTCATCGACTGTTGAGTCCTTAAATTTCACTTTTTACACTTTTGAAGAAGAAAAACTGCAGAGAAGACAAATAAACCCGTTTTAAATCTTCTATAGAGCGATAACAGAGGTAATGATAATAATGATAATAAAGCCGAACATGCTCATATTTTCATTATTATTATTAATATTCAGATTATTGTCGCCCTTCTAGTATCGATCGACTGTTTTCGGGCCGATCCAGACGCTGATTATCGTTGATGGAGGAAGTTAACGGATATTTTGAGCCGTTTTAACAGCATTTAACACCAGAGAACCTGTAATTAGTGACTGGACCTCTTCGTTAATAAGTAAATGTGTAAAACAGAAACAGGAGGATGAAACGATCTCCTCTGTTTGGATCTGACGGACTGAGACCGACCCGTTTGTCTCCTGGTGTTCTGTCACTTTTATTTTCAGTATTATTAATTATCGTTCTCCATTAATCTACTCAGATGAACGTCACTTTGGATAAAAGTGTCCAAATCAAACTGTGGAATAATCTGTGGCTAGCTTTTAGCCGCTAGCCGTTAGCCTTAGCCGCTGTGAGAGCAGCTAACTTCCTGGTTTGTGTTTCTTGTTCAGTTTTTTTTTTTCTTTTTCTTTTTGAGAGACATTTCTGAGAACACAGAGTGACAATCAATCAATCAAACAATCAATCAATCAATACTATACCAATACAGATAATTGGAAAAATGCCAAACACTGGCCATGCTAATCAGCCAGGTCGCTAATCGCCAAGAAAACACAAAGTTTGTGCTGAACACAAACATCTGGATTTGAGCTTTCGAACAAAAAAAATAAAGAAGAAAAGTAATAAAATGGAAAAAGTTGTTTTAACTTATAGAAAACTTCTCTAAAATACCAATAATGTATAAATCCCAATAAACTCTAACTAATACAGACCACATAGGACGACACAGCTGGTTTTAGTGACCAGGTGGAGTTCCTGAACAAAGCCCAGATGTTGGTGGTGCTGAAGCCAAACCAGAGTGGACGATACGGGCGACTTTCTAGAGATTCGTATGAATAAAACTCTCTGGTGCAGACATCGACGGCAAATGAGGAACTTTACAGGACTTGGCTGGAAGGTCTACCTACATCTTTTAAACTGGAATAACTCAGATTATCGGGTTCAAACTGGTCCGATGGCTGCTTCCTGTTCAGTCAGACTGTTGAGTTAAAGCAGCAGAGTGTCCATGTTGTGTTTCTGAACCTTTATTTAACCCACGACGGCTTCGTCCTTTTAAACAAGGTTTTGTTTCGACACTTTCTTCGCTCTCGTCTTTAAAATCTCGGCGTGAAATTAGAACCGAATGTGGAGATTAATTAGAGATCCTCCGTTAAAGCCTGATTAGAAGTTAATCAGAGCTGTTTGTGATTCTCCACAAACCCCCAAATGTCACATTTAAAACCGCGATAATCAACATTTTAATATTTACGACGGATCGAAGGACTGAAGACGCTGCTCTTAGTGACGAAGCAGCAGAATCATGGTGTCGCTGTTGACTGACAGGTTCTGACTTTAATGTTCACCTTTACCTTCTTATCTCTGTTATTTCATCTTAAATCATCCCAGACCTTCTGCTCTACTCACTCTTAAATGCTCTGAACTTGTTTTTATCACAAGCTCTGGATGTTTTTAAGTTAGATGTTCAATTTTAGCTTTAAATACCGAAAACTTTCCAATATTGCTTTTTAAAAAAGTCCCATCTTTGAGCTCATATTCATGAAAAGCCTGATAAAGCAGAAGTCAACTAGTGATGTATTCTGAACCACATGTAGCTGCAGGTCACAATAATACAAAACTAAACATAAAATGCTTTTATTTTGAAATACTTGATCAAAAAACTTCACTTTAATACCTGATGGAGCAGGTTGGACAAGTAGTACCACAAAAATAAAACAGCTGCTGCAAGTTGGTCGACTTTAAAAGCAAATGATTGCAGAAAGTATTTGACTTATGAAGCTCAAAATGAAGAACTATCTTTATAAATATCCAGATTTTATGCTGCAAAAAGTTCAGGCAGATCAGAGATTGTGGAGCAGAAACTGTTCTAAATAATTTGACCTGAAGAACAACAAAATGTTCTACGAGACCCAACAGGTTTCTGATTCCTTCACCATTTAAAAATCCAGTTTTTCACAATAAACTCTGATGCTAATCTCATTTACACACGGAGAAAAAGTACAAAGACGTCTGTAGAAACCTCTCAGACCTCCAGAGCAGCTTCATCCACATCTGACCCGTCAGTAAACGCTTGTTTTTACCGTCTACTGGACCTGATGACCAACACTGGTGTCAAAACTCTTAACGGCACCTTTAGCGCCGCATAGGGGGCATCAGATCCTCAGAAACCAGATTTGATTGTAGGTTTCAGGAGGTGAAATGTTTCCTGGACATTTAACAAAAGGGTCCACTTCAGTATCCGTCATTCAACCTGTTTCTAATCAGTTCGGGTCGGTTTCATCAGCTCTGTGTTTGTTTGTTTGTGGTGCAGATGAAGACGGGTCCGTTCGCCGAACACTCCAACCAGCTGTGGAACATCAGCGCCGTTCCTTCCTGGTCCAAAGTCAACCAGGGCCTGATCAAAATGTACAAGGCCGAGGTAGGTCTGCATCCGGCCCTCGCTGAGGAGCTTCTAGCTGCTTTAATGAAGAGTTAAAAAACCCACATGGAGGTGGAAAGAACCTGATTCCAAAAGCACAACACTGTGAAAGAGTCATACATTTGACAACCAGTCAGAGTCCATTTGAGTCTCCGTTTGAGTCCTGCAGAGCGTCCTGTATCCAACGTGGAGCAGGTAAAATAAAACACTGATGTGATGTTTATTCCTAAAGTTTGGACTCTCCGGGTTTCTGAGTTTCCTCAACCGTGACCAACATGGAGGCTCATCTGCTCAGTGGTGCAGATTTCTTACACAGATTTCCACAAACTGAGAGCAAACCTACTGGTGCTGCTTCAGTTTACGAGCATTTAAAACCATTTTAATGAAACAAACTGAGGGATGAACTGTTTCTGATCAACACAGACGGATGTTTCACACTTTTATTTCCCACTGAGGCCAAACTCTTAAGGACATATTAATTATTGTTTTCCAGACTCTGCTTCAGGGTGACCTGTGGCAGCTTCCTAGCTTAGCTGCTAGCCGTTAGCGTAGCATCAGCCACTGTTAAGGCAGCTAATGTCCTGGTTTGTGGAGATGTTTGTGTTTCTTGTTCGGTTTTTGAATGAACAGAGTTAATCTGACTCCAGAAACATGTTACAGTGCTACAGCTAGCGTTTGCCGCTAGCTAAGAGGCACAGCTGACCTCTTAGCATTAGCCTAGCATCTCCAGCAAAATAAGTTCACTGGCGCCAGCAAGTGAATTATTCTGACGTTTTCAGTGTAAAGTTGTGTTTATTACAACTTCACCAACTCCTGTTAGCTCACTGTTGCTTTGCTAACGTCTGTCTCTCTGTGTAAACAATTGCCTTCATTGTTGATTGGCTGTTACTTAAGACATGAAGCAGCCAATCAGGTAGAGTTGTGGGCGGGGCATTGTTGAGGTCACAGAGTCCCACCAACAAAGAGTAGTGCTGCTAATTAACGTAATGATTAACAGTTAACGAAAATAATACTGTCAATACAAGTCAGGCATGTAGTGTAAATATGTATATAAAAGACATATTCTGTGGCGTTAAGACTTATTTTCTATACGTGTAGCTTGTCGATATGACAAAAGGCTCGAGACGAATCCACGAGTTATGGCGTGAAAAAATTTAAAACTGTATAAAGCGCAATTCAGTTTAATGTTTAATGGAAGCACAACACAAAGGAAAGTCATTTTCACTTATTAATGTTTTAAAACACACTCATGTGAACTTTCAGATGTGGTGAAGAAACTAGAAGCAAAAACATGTGATGTGCTGAGTTAAGTGTGTCTCGTTTTTTTCTTGTTTACGTGACGTCTAAGAAGTCGGGTTTACTGCAGCCGGGAGTCTGAACGGACCGGTTCTCTGCATAACAACACGGTTCTCCAAATACAACTAAGGAAACGTATAGTTTTAAAAATGTTCTTCATCGTCAGACATGATGAGAAACAAGAAAACATTCAGGTTTTATCTTGAATAGTTCCTCAGATGTTCAGACTGACTCAGATTTCAATGTGAGAGAACAAAACCTGCTGAAAGTGGGTCAGCGTGGATTCTGTTTATAAAGTGTAATCTCAGAAAGCATTCGGTACATCAGCTTAAAACTTCCGACGTATCTTCAGAAATATTCATTATTCATGCTGCAAACATTTCAGAGAAACTGTTCTAGAGGTTCTACCCGCAGAACAAAATGTTCTAATCAGACAAGTTTGGTTAAAGAAGACGTTTCTGTCGAGCTGAGTTCAGTGTGTTTTCTGCACCAGATCCAGCTGGTGACCCATTTCTGGGTGTAAATAAAGTATTTTTCTAAGAATCTATTCTTGGACACGCACTTGATTGTAATTTCTAACTTTAGAAACGCAGTTTGGCAACACGAACAAGAGACTAGAAGCCAAAACTCGTCGCGTTTCATTCTAGTCCTGCACCTCGGAGTCTGTTTCTTCTTGTTCAAGAAGTCGGGTTTGCCGCTGGAAGCCAACCGCGAGCGCCGAAACGCCCCGACCAGACCGGTTCTCTGGGCTCGCAGAGGCAGGAAAGGGTTAACGTGGAGAGAGCGGTTGTGTGTCTGTGTTGTGTGTCTGTTGTGAGTCTGTGTGGGCGTTGGGGGTGGGGTTGCTGGGATGTCTAAGCCCGTCCTCCCCCAGCCTCCATGCCCACATCCTGTGTTTTCCAGCCCCAGTCTTCCCAGAGAGCTGAGGGGCCAGGCTGTCTGCTGCCTCCCCCCGCCTCGCCTCGCCTCGCCTCGCCGCCGCCGCCGCTGCTGCTGCTGCCTTCATTAAATCCTCCCTCCCTCCGTCGACCTTCCTCCAGCCCGAAGCAACCATCAGCAGACTTGCATTCCTCTCTCCCTTTCCTGGCCCCACACAGAGGCTTTCAGAGCCCAGTTTCTGCTGCACAAACCCAGAAAGAGCAGAATCCTCCATTTTCTGAGGCCTCGGCTGCGACGACGGAACAACGGGTTCTAGCAAAATGGGACAAAGTGGTACCGGGAACAACTTACAGAACCAGTCCCGGCTTTACTACAAGACGCAGGAAAAAATAAAATAAAGACACAAAAAGTCCTGAGAAGCTGTTTATAGACCAAAAGGGACGAGTTCTATCGAATCAAGTTTAGTTGTTTCTACTCATGTTTAAAACAGCCTGAGTTCAACAAAAAGTGCAAAAATCTAAAATGGAAAATAGAACAAAGCAGCAGCATGGTGTAAGATCAACTTTTAAGATTAAATAAATATAAAATACCAAAAACTAGGACCATCAAACACCACAAGTCACAGTGTCCTCTTTTTATGTTAAAAAATGACAAAAGATAAGTTAATGTCAACGTTTTAATGTCTTTAAATAACCAAGCAATGAAAATACAGAAACACAACTCAGTTATTTGTTCACCATTGAAAAGTATTTAGCGTTTTTGTTGGTACCAAAAGTTAAGACCATTTAAAGCCACTGGAAACTTGTGTGTCTTATGTTGTGTATTAAAAAAAGCTAAGAAATTCAAGGAGAAAAGTGTAATATCAGTGTTTCAATGTCTTTAATAGACAAACAATGAAAATAAAACACAACTGAGTTTTTAGCATTTCTGTTGCCCTGGTGCTTTCTTTAATTCCAACATGGCTTTTTAAACTCCTTCAACCACCACATAAGTCGACTTTTTCACTTACTTAAGACATTTAGAAGTACTTAAAATATATTTAAACTACTTTATAAATG